TCCTGCTGGGCACCTTCAAAACTAAGGCCATCAGTTTTATTTTCCTGAGGTGGGGAGGAACAGACCTCTCAAGAGTTACAGAAGGCCACTCCTGCTAATTGTAGGACAGCTTGAAAGAAATACAAAGTGTAACTGTAGCGGGGACATGTGGTAGTAATCACCTACCTACAAACTCACCTGCTGGAAGCATTTATTGCACAGTAGTGACAAGTACTATAAAGCCATCTTGAAAAACTAAAAATGACATAGAAACTACCCCAAAACCAAATTTGTGTGTTAAAGATCCTTGTTGACCAGCTTAAGGCACAGACATCCAAGAAAAGTGCCTTTTGGCTATTCATACAGGACTTTAATTATGAAGCTGGAAGAGCTTTCAGATTATTCAACATTAACAGGCCTCTGCCAAAGGTCTAGAGCAGTTTAAAGCAGGAATTAAAGCAAAGCTTCCTTCCTTTAGACTTCTACAAGGGCTGTTAGCATCTTAAAGAGGTTTAAGCTTTGGTTTAATTGAAAGTGAAAAGCCTGAGAGTTAGTAAACACAATCAATGGAACTGCAAAGCATGACAATGTTAATGGCATCCAGGGGTCTGATCCAGCATGCTTCGCTCAAGACAGAAAACTGTTCTCTTACTGTTTTTTTTTTTTAAGCAGGTCTACAACTACAGGATAAGGTGCTTTGTACTAGAGGAACAAAAATGTAAGTTTTTCTTCTGCCCCTCCCTGTTAAATATTTACAGTAAACTTGGGGAGGTGGGGGGAAAGGACTGTAAAACAAATGACAAGAGGAGGAAATTTAATGTATGAATTAAAAAAGAGCTAGAAAATAAAGTAAACTTACACCATGATCAAGAGCGTAATTAGCATCTGTCACAAAGGTTACTGGTCTGGAGGGATCGAGAGCTTTAGTGTGAGCTATCACTGTCCTGTTTGCAAACAATAAAGCAAAAGACTTCAACAACAGTATGGAGAAGCACAGCCCCATTTCCCCAAGCTCCCTGTCCTTCCACCCCCCTCAAACATTTGGATCTGCTTTTGATTTAGCAGACAGTATTTTTAATTAAATACTGCAGGACACTTAGAGAATCATCTGCTATAAGTGCCTGGAATTCTAGCCAGTTCTGATTGTGGTAAAGAGACTATCTGTCATAAAGCTGGTTGCTCTCCCACCTGAAAAAATAGACCAGAGTGGAAGTATACCAACCATGGGTGTGTTAATTTGTCTGTTGGTGCCAGCAGCTTGGAAGTTGGAGAAGGGACAGTGAGTTTGAAGACTAAAATGTAAGAAGGGTAATGGGGAGCTTCTGAACAAGTCCTGGGATTTGTTCCTGCAAAAGCACAAGGCTCCAGGCCTATGCCACAGCAGGTAGAGCAGTCACAGGTTGGCTGCTTTTGAGGAAACCCTGAATGAGGGACATGAGACAGAATGGGACGGTCAAGCTCTGCTGCTTCCCTCATGTTGCAGGAGGATGGTGGATCATTCTGGAGAATGAAACTTCACAGTTACTACTTAATGTGCCTACAGCTACTAGGGACTGCTACCCACCAGAGATGACTCTTGGCTATCCAAAGCTTAAATCTCTTTAGAAATAAAACCAAGGGGTCTGTAGGGACTCAAAGCCGTGGTTTTGAAATGGGGTTTCACAGTCCCCTGCAGAACAAATAACTAGCACTAAAGAACCTTGTCTTCAGAATTAAAGGCCAATTATTTTACAGCTTTGCTGTAATTCTCAAAGAATTTAGCACTTGTCTTCTATTGGTAACAAGGAATATCCTGCTCCCATCAGGTTTGCTTTTGCTTGACCCTCAGGTCAAAAAGAGATGCTCAGACCAAATAGACTCCTGATAAATTTTGTAGAGCCTTACTGGTTCAGAAACAACAAGTTGAGACAGTTGTGGTTCTGTAAGCATCAGTTCAACACAGGCAGCAGTTACACTTTTAGTTTGCATCTGCAGGTACTGTTTCAGGGTTCCCAAAAAAATTCTTCCTCTCTCACTACTACTCTGTGCCATCCCAAAGGAATAAGATGCATCATCTGCCAAGATTCAAGCCTCAGCTCTGCGTACAACCACATGCACTTACTTAAAGTAGTAAGCTGCTGGGGGCAGCTCTGATGCCGGCTCGTTGGCTACTGACCACATCACAACTGACGGCCTGTTCTTATCCCTGCGGATCAGCTCCTCCATCACAACAAGATGATGCTGCAAGGACTTGTTCCCAAAGCTCTCACTTAAAGACAAAAAGAATTGAGACCTGCTGAGGTGAGGGTATAAAATCCATCCCCTTTGTCTTTCTCCGTGAAAATTCAAGCCTCTGAGGTGTATAAGCACAGTTCAGCCTTAACACTGAATATGGTTTCTGCCCTATTTCCCCAAAGCCTGCTGCACACTTCAGGGCTGTGGTTTGAGCTTGTTAATCAAGCCAGACCAAATGACACAATGGCCATGTGGCAAAACACCCTCCGGTTGCCCAACCTCACTAGGCACACGTGACGCAACAGGCTAATTTCTAAATAGAGCAAAGTACTTCCATTATCAGGCCAACAGGCGCTGCGGCAGAGACGAAGACAGAAACAAGGGGAAGGGTCCTTGCAGGAATTCCTTACAGCATTTTAATCCCCACTCCTGGGCACTCGTCGATCACCACGATGCCGTAGGCATCGCACAGGTCCATGATCTCCTCGGCGTAGGGGTAGTGGCTGGTACGGAAAGAGTTCGCCCCCAGCCAGCGCAGCAGGTTGAAGTCCTTCACAACCAGAGGCCAGTCGAGGCCTTTGCCACGGATCTGTAGGGGACAGAGACATCACACCCCTGGGTGTGACATTGCTGGGCCGGGGCTTCTCCTCACAGGTCAGCCGGGCACCGCCGCTGCCCTGCTCACTGCCAGAGCGTTTCCAGCCCCGGACGCCATTTCTAGCTGACCGCACCACCTCTCCGTGCAGCGTTTGCCTTTCTGAGGGGTGCTGCCACATGCACGCTCAGACCCGGGGCGTTCGGAGGAGCAGAGGACATGGCGGTCGCAGCCAAGCTGCTGCTCGCCGTTCTGGGGAGCGGCCCTGCCCGGGCCGGGCCGCGCTCCCCCTCCCCTGCACAGGTGCCGTGCATGAGGCGGGCCGGGGCTCGTGCGCCCCTCTGAGCAGA